CAGCCTTTAAGGCTTTTGGAATTGAGAAGAATGAATAAAGCACTAATCAAGGTAATTTTTCTGGGTTTCAAAAGCAGTGGTTACAGGTATTTATACTATGTCCTCTTGTGTATTTCCTGGAATGTGCGGAGAAGGTCAAGTGTCGCTGAGATCTATGTTTGCGGTTGACTATTCTTCATACACAAAGTCTCCATCTCTAAATTATGCCTTCAGTTGAACCGGAAAACATGTTGATTTAGTCTGTCTAAATCTCAAGAATTCAATTATTGATAGCCTGTGCATTCTAATTCAACTCTTTTTCAGAAACCCACTAGTTTCGAGATCTTCTGATGCCAAGGGATAACTCTGTATTATGCCAGGAAGGCAGGAACTCGATCTCTTGTAATCTTCTTCGAAGCTACACTTAATACATTTCGCACGGTATTTGCTTACTCTGGTCAAATAGGATTGCTGGCTGCATAACCGTACTGGAAAAAGAGTCGTCCTGGGGTAGACATCTATAAAAATTCAATTTTTAAGAGATTGACCACCAAAGCTGGAAGTAATTGAATGATTCAACCCTGAATTCTCAAGCACATCCCCCTTATGTGAATGTTAAGCATTATCCGACGGCTCAGCACGCGGTTTAGAGATTAGTATATTGTATATATTCTCGTTTTGTTTTAAGAAAACTCATTTTCTAGTAAAAAATTAAAGAAAAGAAAATTCATTTTAGTCTAGCCAATTCCGCATAGGTACAGGTATTAATTCATTAAACTAAGAAAAAAAAAATATTATAGTTTGCGTGAAAGATGTAGTTGACTGGAAGGATTATCAATCAAGTGGGAAAGTTGACTAAGGAACCAAAATATTTTTAAAAAAAAATCTTCATTTGTAAATAAGGGAAATAAATAAGATTATATGAACATGGGCTGGAAGAATCTACACGAGTTGAGATAACAAGGGAAATGAAGGCCTCTAAGTTCCTTAGAAAATGTCTCATGGGGTAAGAGCTTGAACCTCGATGTTCAAGCTCGAATCGTAAGATAGACATCAAGGGATAAAAAAATGAAAAATAAATAAATAAAATAAATAAAAGAGCTATTACTTGTCATATGACGTGTCATCAAGATGTTTTTCTGGCATGACAAACATAAAACAGCCACAAGATAGCCGTGGATAGAAAACTTTATCCTATGGAATTCTTGAAATGGGCATGTGTGATCTCCAATTGATTCTGAATCCGGGCATAATAAAATAGGAGCAGGTTAGAGAGACTTTCAAACTCAATACAGGTTACAGGACTACAACTAATCAAACTTATCGCAGGGGACAAGATGAAGACATTAATATGCTTTGACCCAAATTGCAAAACCAGTATTGCTAAGCATGATTCATATCCCTTCAAGAATGATGAATGTTCTAGGACACAGCATGATTTAAGTAGCCCTTCTCGGCACCACCAAAGCAGATACCCCCATCATATCAGGAATTTACGATGATTGATTTGGATTCTTCTCGTTGAACTTGAAATTATGTAAAGCATTTCAAATGCAAATACCATCATTAGTTTCAATTATTCATTTATCAGAGAAACAGTGGGAATCAAATAAAAGATTTGGCATAATTTTATTTTGTTAAAGTTCAAGAAAAGAATACAGCATATGGAATAGGGACGGGAAAATTTTGCAAAACATCTGCACAGTTATGGGCAGATAGATGAAGATTCAGTACTAACTGCTGCTATCTGTAAAAATACAAGAGTAGATAAATAAGAAAAAAAAAAAACACAATGAAAAAGCCGTTTACTGATTTCTATAATTAATTGTATATGTTTTCCTGCGAGCTTTCTGAGATTTTGGGATCCCATTGGTCAGCTTTCATCATCAGAGTTGTCAAATGTGATTTTTTTAGCCTTTGGAGCATCTGCAGACATTTCTCTGAAATGGTCCCCATATAACTTTGACTCCTGCATTAAGACATGCTTACCAGGTAAGAAGTGGTATGAAATTTGATTTTTAACACAGGTGACAATGCACATGGAAAAAAAGTGAGAAAATTATAGAAGCACAAAAATGCAGCCTTTTTCTTCAAGTAAATACAGCCATATAAAATTATAAAATAACTTAGAGGAGGAAAAAATATCTTATAATACCAGTCTTCAAGGCAGATATTTGAGGTCCCTTAGGGGTTCCTCCATATAGACAAACTGATTTCACGCCACATGAATTTCCTGCATCACACAAAACATTTGATATCTGCCACAAGTAGTTCAGGCCATATAACTTGTCAAATTCTAATTAAATAAGTTGTCACTCCAATATTTGCATTGATTCTTAAAAGGTATCAGTAAGCGAACTTCTGTTTCTGATAAGAACAAGCATTTACTAAACATTTAAGCTTTATACCATTTGCTACAACTTGTAAAAAAAAACTAGCATGTGGAAATATACCACAAAGTAAGTGATGATGTGGGTCAAACTTCTATGAGGTATATTTTTTTAATAGATGTATGATGTATCTCATGCAATTAAAAATAAGAAAATGATTGGTACACCTTTGATTCAACATATTTTTTGACACATTCTCGGTTTAATCATTAAAAATATAATATAAATACAATTAATTCAACAAATTCTTGTATTTGTATGTATAATTATATCATTAAATTTATTTGCTTTTAATTTCAAACTAAAAAATAATAATTTTTTAATTAATATGTCAAACAATGTGTTGAACCGAAGTATATACCAATCATTATCCTTAAAAATAACAGTTTAGGATTTCTTTTATCCAACAATGTTAGCGTAGTTATTGAAGAAGATCACACATTTATGCACGCACCATGAATGATGGCCAAGAGAAATGCACAACAAATGCAGCTTTTCAGTGGATTCCATGCATAGTGAACCATCATTGTATCCAAAAGATAAAATTTCAACATATACCAAGCCAAGTCAAAAACTGAAAAATGCATAAAGAGTTTCATACCCGCTCAGCTAATTCCCTTCTTGGAGAAAGTACAAGGCAACGTGGATTAGTCCCCTTCGATGCTCTGCCCTTCCGGTTGCGCAATACATGCATGATTGCTGGCACACCGAAAGCCAAAGTCTTGCTTAATGATCATACAAACCAAAATGACACCATAAGTCTTAAATCAAAACCAGTTTTTAGCTAATAACAAATAACAGAACAGAATCGTAAAACCCTAGAAAATATAAAATCAAACTGTAACACATGTCTCCAACCCACATCAGAATCACATTACTGAGCGTCAAGCTCCAAACTTAATAACAGAAAATCTACAATTTTGATCAAGAAAAGATTAAACTCAAAAATAAAAGAGGAACCTAAAAACAAACAACCAACAGCATTGCCACAAAGGAAAAAGGAAAAAGAATACTACCTGACCCAGTTTTTGCAATTCAAATAAAATCACGACCATCAAATAGAAAAGGCCATGCATGAGCCTGAATTGGAGACGGGCTTTTAAAGTTCTTGCAGCAATCCAAGACGTTCTCCGGTAGCTTAGAATCAGCAAACGATTTCAAGGGAGCGTACGTATTCGCTTCTTCTGCATTCTTCCCGCTAACCACTACCTTCTCCTTCCCATTTTCATGACCAATGTGAGCTAATTCTTGCTTCTTTTCTAGGGTGTCACTTAGTTCTCCGTTTTCCTCCTTCGTCTTCTGCCTTTTCTTCTTCTTATGCTCTTCAGTTGTTTCCCCAATTTCGTCGCTTAATTCCTTTGTGCTCGTCTTCATGGGGTTCACCTGTTTCCTTCCTATCCTTCTCTTTCTTCCGCATTTTTCTCTTTCTTACTCTCTTTCAGCTCAACTTCTTCCACTTATTGCGGCTTTCTCTTCGGTTCGCTTCATTTTGTTCATCAAATTTTGATTCTTTGTTGTTGTTCTTCTTCTTGGTTTTCGTTTCTGGATCGCGTATGGTTCTGCTAATGATTCTATAGAGGGGACTCATCCTTCTTCGACGAAAAACCGGACTATGGAAGAAAGAGAACCAAAGCTAAAACCATTTGCATATGTGCGAGTGAGGGTTTTATGGTAGGGTTTTAAGCCCGCAAATACTCTTCGTTTTGTCCACCTGTTGCATTCTTTTTTCTTCTTCTTTTTTTTTTTTAATTTTTCGTGGCTGTATTAATTTTCTCTCTTTCATTAATAAAAAAATAAAAATAAAAATAATTCACAAGTACAACAAAAAAAAAAAGAATTAAAATAAAAAATATTAAAAGCTGAATAACATAGGAGTTTTATATTTTATAATTTTTTTATAGTAAAAAATTCTAAGTTAAGTTAGTTGTATTTGTTTTTTTGGGAGAATCGAACCCATGATGAGGGTGCATTCCACCCGTTGCTTAATGAGTAATGTGACCACCACTGAACCACATAAAAAATTACTTATATTTTATAATTTAATCTGCACCACTAAAACAATAACCATTGAATGAAAAAATATTACTCCTCTATCCAATAATTTAAAATTTTCAATCCAAAATGTAGAAGACTTGTTTTATTGCACAATGGTCCTCTTCTAGTTTTCTTTATTTCTTCAAAATTTAATAAAAAAATGGATTTCAGTACCCAAAAAAAAAATTCATAAAAAATGGATTTAATTTAAGCTTAGCACTTTTGAAAATATGAGGACAACTGTAGCAAAGTAACAATTACAATACTTTGGATGGAAATGTTCCTCTTTAAAAAAAAAAAAAAAAAATGATGGATATGTTCCTCCGTGCACATAGGTTAAAAAAGTGAGGCAATTACTGATTGACTACATGCAATACCAAGGTCCCCCTAGCTCTATTCGACCACTACATCAATTCTCATACACCTCTCAGGAAGTAATCTACGGTTTCATCACTTCACTGGCAAAGAAACAAACATTATAGGAAGTTTGTCCTAGCGGACAATTGTTGAACCAGACAGAGGGATGCATCTACTTCTTGTCGTAAGCTGCTATATTCTGGGGTTCACATTCAGGACTGAAGAGGCGAACCAGCAATGCAGATGTTGAACTCACTGACACTGCTCCACAAGCTGCCCACCGAAGACTCCTTGGAACTGTAATTCTAGGACCTACAGGATCATGGAATGATGAATATTGTAGGGTTGGTAAGAACCAGAATGTGAAACATGACATTGGCTGTTAGCATAGAATCAATCACGGAAATAAAGAAGTGAGGTGGAGATTTTGAAGATAAATATAAATGGGATAAAAATGATGATATAGCAACTTCAATGAAATTATTTTATCAGAACCATATTAACGATGATGTATACTCAACCAAAGCACATCATTTAACAAGTAAAATTAAAATTCAGTTCATCACAAACAATAGAGCTAACAGCTGAGAACCAAGCACACAAAATAATGGGTATCCAAGTTACATAGACTTGAGAACAGAATAGCAAAAGGTACTAAAAGAGTAGAGCAGACCATAATGCAATCTGCAGAGAACCCAGAATCCCAGTGCTCCTCCAACAGTGCAAATCCCAGCTGTCTGCCTCATTAATCTGGAACAAGGCTTGCAATCTGACCTCATCAGCTCCCCATCCGACCACCCAAAATAACGCCTTAGAGACATCTACAAGATTATTTTTCCAAATTAAATTAGTTCTTCAAAAATACAAAAAACTATGTTTTTAAAATTTTTTCAAATTAAACACTTTCCAGTGCCTGGTGAAAATAAAAATACTGTTCTCCTTTGTTCTAACAAAATTCAATATCTGCAATCATCTATTTCCTAACAAATAACAATGCAATGTGAGGTTGGCACTAGTGTACTAAAAATGAGGCATCATCAATTCAATTAAGAAAATACCACCCGAAAACAAAATTCTTGACAAGCCCCAAGCAAAAGGTAGATGTAAAGCGCAAAAGAACAAAGTAATGCAACTAAATATCAACTTTCTCCATTGCACTCTACAATGAATGACATTTGCAAAACAAATACTCTGTGATTTGAAGTTACATTGTATATCCTCTCATTTCGCAATCCTACAGGTGGAATAATTAAGATGGGTATGTTTTGACTTTCAATGAGGCAAACAAACAAACACTTAAAATGCAACAAAAGTGCAGAGTAAAAACTTAATAGAAAACAACTTTCTTGATATCTCAGTGCCGAGTCTATGCCCTCGAGCCAATTGCATATCTTTTAACACAGAAAAACAGGATTTAGAGAAATAATAAGCTCGAAGGCTGTAAGGAGGAACACAGAAAAGAGGAGACTTTACATTAAGTTTTTCGAAAGTGTGGTTCCCTTAGTAACAGTAACAGAACTCGCCAACTTTTCCGCCGCCGCCGCGATTGTGGACGAAGGAGGCTGAACGAGAAAGACAGAGACGATACTCGATTACCGGCTGACGGCTGATCACCGTCGCGGCGAAGACGAGGGAGGCAGGATCCAGACCTCGGTTCGGTTTTTTCGGTTGGGCGAAGAGGCTTCATTTTAAATGTGGATTCGGAGGAGAAGACTCGACCCGGTTTCTATGGGCCAGTCTTGATCCGTGAGATTGGAGACCAACCTGAATATGGGCTCATCTCATCTTCTTGACCCAAGCCCATGTTCACAAGACTGAAATTTTTTAATTTTTGAAGAAGAAGAAAATAAAAAGAAAAAGAATGCTTCAATTCATTAACAGTAACACTCAACAGCCACCATACTAGCATTTACTATTTAAACTTTCTGAGACCTAATTATGTTTGCTTGTTGAGAAAATTGGAAAGAAAGTGAGAAATACAAAAATAGCAGCAAAGAGGGGCAAGTTTTGGTAGGAATTCCTTCAGCAGGAATTAAGCCTAAGTTTAAGAAAATGTTTGAAATTAAGGTGACTCATGCTTGCATTTTGAGCAAGAATGATGGGATTTCCATGACCATGAGAAACCAAAAATGTGGTTGTCAGATGTCACATATTTGAAACTTGAAGGACACTCTATTGAGAGCTGTCTTTGACCATAAAAAGGCCACATGATGATCTTCCTCTGGATCCTTCACCTCCCTTTTTCAGGCTGCTATCTTAACAACCATGTTCTTGTTGAGGAAAACAGTGATTGAAATCCATATGAATTTAGAGGACGGAGAGAAACAGGTAGCTTTTGGTTGGCATATCTTTTGATGGGCATGTTGTACTTACTGAATCTGAAATTTCCATCTCACTTCTACTTGTATGGCAGGGCATTTTTTAACCGAACCGATTGTTTACCCAAAAATTGAACCAAAAAAATGAATTTGGTTTGGTTTTAATGGTTTTTGGTTTTATTTTCTTAGTTTTGATATTAACCAAATATATTTTGGTTTGATTTCGGTTGAATTTCTTAAAAACCAAAAACATAAAATAAAACCGAAATTAGGATAAAATAGATAAAATATATTAAAATATGATAAAATATAACAAAATATGATAAAATATGTGA